TCAAAAAAGATATTGATACAAATTGTTCTTTTTGCAAACAGCACCCAGAGACTATTGTGCATTTATTTTGGCTTTGCCATTACTCTAAGTTATTGTGGAAAGACTTTTCCCTGTTTGTTACTGAGAACATTGATAAGGATTTTTCTTTACTTTGGGAAAATGTTTTGTTTGGAATTGTTAATGGGAAAAAATAACATTTACTGAAAAACAAGATATACTTACTTAATCTTATTTTATTAACCAAATTTTATATACATAAATGTAAATTTTCAGGTCAAAAACCACTTTTTTATGTTTTGCTTGCTGAATTGCAGCATTACTTTGGGACTATCTTTAACTCGTGTAACAAGAAGGCTTTAAAAACAATTGAAATTTGTAATTTTTTTTATCTTTTCCTTTGATGTGATCTTTTGTGATTAGTTATATACCCCTGTCTTGTACCCTGTAGTTTTATTTTTCTTGTTGTTGTTTTTTCTTTCTTATTATTTCTTTTGTTCTACATTGTGACTGCTTTTATTTTTGTCTATATAATGTCCTTAATAAAAAAAAAATAAAAAAAACTTTACTAGTGAATGGGAGAGTTTCTAACAAGGTTAAGGAGATTCATTATAAAATCCTTCATAAAATGTACCCCGTTAATTTGTCTATTTCTAAATATTGTAATGTTGATGAGTCTTGCTCGTTTTGTGGTTTTGTTGAGGAAACAGCTGCCCGTTTGTTTTTTGATTGTGGTGTTACCAACAAATTATGGGTTGACTTAAGCACCTATGTTTCTAACCTTACAAATGTGTCCCATACCTTCGTCCTCAAAGATGTTATCTTTTATTATGAAAATCCAAAGCTATTATCTGTTGAATATGTTGTTAATTTTCTTATATTGAATGCAAAATTCTTCAATCATAAGCAAAAATGGCTTAAATCTCCTTTTGTCTTTCCCCCTTTTTCTTGTTGAATTGGACTCTCTTGTTTCAGCTCTTAAACTTACAAATAACAAAAAAAGTGCCAAACTTTTGATGTATTATGACAACTTTTCTAAAAGAATGTAAGTTTATTTTTGCACTTTTATGTATCGATAATACTTAATTTGACATGCAAATCCAGTCCGGCCCACATTACCACACCGACACAGCCCCACCCACGGACATGCATTCACTACTTGCATTTGTGTACAGATGGTGAAATAATATAAGCAGTACCATATATGGGGCTGCGTCTCCATGGCGACAAACAACTACAAACCCAAGCGATGCGTAACTTTGTACCAGGCCCAGGGGCGGATTGGGACAAAAATTCAGCCCTGGCACTGTAGCCACTCCGGCCCACATTACCACACCGACACAGCCCCACCCACGGACACACACA